CCATCTTCATGGAAACCATATCCTGTCCATGCGCCTGCGTACCAAATGCCTTGCTTTCCTTGGATCTCGTGGAGACGGTCTTGCGCAAATACCATGCGCGAGTTGTAAAGCGGATGTCGGTATTGGTATGTTGCCTGGGTGAGGGCAGGAGAGGGAGGATGTGGTGGGTTGAGAGTGACGAGGACGTTTTTGTAGATGTCACGCGGGATGTGCTGCAAAGTGTTCATGTCGTAGGTTAGGCAGACGGTCTGGAGGGCGCCAGAAGAAGTAGTCAGGTTTGCGGATGATGGTGTTTTCTGCTTGGAGGTGGTGAGGTAGTTCCAGGCGGACCATGCTGTGCGTCGTTGAGGCATGAGCTGGGTGTTGTTAGCAATAGTTGAGTATATCCAAAGCATTCAAGACTCACTGAAAGATCAGAATGCAGGTATGCTGTGTTTGGTGTAGTTTCGAATGCGTCCAGGATGTCCTTTTCTGTCGCTGTCGCCTCGTCGCCTAACATCCACCTCGCCTGGTCTCCATGACAAGCAAGTACTACCTCGTCAAAAGCCTCTGTCTGACCTTCTCCCCTTCCACCCAGCCTTAATTCGACTTTACCACCTTTCCTTGTTGCCGCCAGAACCGGCGTTCCAAGATGGCCTTCGCAATTGCCAGCCAGGTCCAGGACCGCATCTATGTATTTGCTAGATCCTCCTTCAACAGTCAACCAAGGTGGTCTCTCTGCTATGGTACTAAGTAGGTGGTGGTTCCACATGAACCGTACCAAAGTCAACGCCGGGAACTCCAAAGCGCACTTATCCGCGCCCGTACTCCATACGCACGCCGTCATTGGGATGAGGTAGTCATCTCTGAAAGCATCTGAATACCCTTCTCTCTCGAGATACTCGCCGATGCTCATTTCTGTAGCGGCGACAGCTGCAGGCGAACCTGGTGGGATAGCTAGAAGATCCAGAGCAAATTGATTGAAGCGGATGATGTCGAATATCATGCGCCAGAAGGAGAGCTTGAGAGCATTGGAAGGTTGCGCGAAGAGTGAGCTGCCTGACGTGCCAGACCATTCAAAAGCGCCAGCATCGCGAGATATGCCAAAGGTCATCTCTGAGGCGACGGTTTTAACACGCAACGCTGAAAGAAATTTGATGAAGTTTGCTAGACGTTCGTTAGACTTGGGACTACGTAGACATCTGGTTTTGACGGGGAACGAACGGTATGTAGCGGTGTTGAGGACGATGAAGCCAGTATCAACAGGCGTGCTCTTGCCATTGTGTGTCCACGGCACTGTGTTGGTATGACCACCAAGACGTTCCTCTTTCTCGAAAAGATGCACTTCATGCTGGGTATTGCGAAGCGCGTAGAGGGCGCTCAGGCCAGATATGCCACTGCCGACGATGGCTATGCGCTTCTTCTCCATCTTCCCGGACATGATCAACTAGCGCGTAATTATGGCGAGGATACTAACAGCCAGGTACACGGTTGGAGTTGACGCACCAGGGTGACGAAAGAAATTGAGCAAAGGGAAGCTGCTGCTGCAAAGATGCGAGTCATGATGTCATCGATTTGAAGCGAATGCCGTTTCAGTCGGCGCATGACTAGTGTCGAGGGAAAGTACGCACGCTCGAAATGTAGGCATTGTAGATATCGTGAACTCACAGCTGCGTGTTCTGAACGCAGGAAGAGGTCCGCGGCATTATACAGTCACTTGGCCATGCGTTCGAGACCCGCTCTCTTGTGGACACGGCAGACTAGGGCCCATGGCATCATCAGCATTATTGTGGAGCTGACTTTGCATCTTCGCATTGCTACCATGTGGAATACATGAGACAGTCAGGAACTATACGACACGGCTGATATGCAGGTGGCTCTCAAGGGGCCACAGCAACACCTACGTAATCACAACTTGGGCATCGACGACGCTCGTGTTGGGTAATGCGTTTTGCTAGCAAGCTGCGACAGGAGGTACCTTCATCGTATCAAGCAGGAGTGATGATATGAACGCAGTAAAGGATGTTAGGTGGCCTTGCCGCTTAAAGGTTCCCCAGATGCAGAAGCGTAGTGGCACACGTGACACGGCAGGGATGACCTTGGCAAGTGCGTAATGCGCCTCATGAGCTCCGGACTCCAGGCTCGACGCTGCATTCACAAACACATCCAACCCAGGCCGCCATTCACACTCCAAGGACGATAGCCCCCCATAAACACCGAAGCCTACACTGCGCAATCCAGACTTGACCGCCGCCATGTCCAACCTGATCGACGCCGATGCAGGCACCGAGCGCTTCAGCGGCTACGAAGCCGAGTTGAAGCTGGTGCAGGCCGACCTGAGCCAGCAAATAGAGCAGATCAAAGAGACCAGTGGAGAGCCCCGGAAAGCCGCGATTAGCAGAGCAGAGCGCGCGCTGGAAGAAGCCGAAGAGCTGGTGAGTCGCCGCCTAAACACACCTGTTGCACATGCGACGGGCACCACCACCACCACCACAACACCAACACAATGTACAAGACCGCGCTGCTAACCCGCTCACCTCCCAGATCGGCCAAATGCGCCTCGAAAAGTCCAACATCCCCGCCAACCTCAAATCGAAATACAACGCGCGCTTCCGCAACTTCGAACACGACCTCGACACGCACAAGCGCAAGCTAGAAACCTACACGACAGACAAGGCCAAGCTTTTCGGTGACCGCTACACTGACAACCCCGAAGGCGGCGATGCGCAGCTCGAGCAGCGCCAGCAACTCCTCTCCGGCACCGATCGCCTCAACAGGTCGAGTGGCCGGCTGAGGGAGAGCCAGCGCATCGCGCTCGAGACGGAGCAGATTGGCGCCGGCACACTGAGCGATCTTCATAGGCAGAGGGAGCAGATTACGAATACGAGGGAGAGGCTGCTGGAGAGTGAGAGTTATACTGATCGGAGTATCAAGACGTTGAGGGGTATGGCGAGACGGTATGTTTTCCCGCTTCTTCCTGTCCACCATGCAAGCTCCGGTTGATGTGGAGTCTAGATGGATGCCCTTTTGATTCTTGCGAGAGGGAGTGCTAACGAGGTTTTGTGCAGGATGGCTACGAACCGCATCATTACGATTGCTATCATCACCGTCTTGGTGCTGCTTATCATTGCGGTCATTTACAGCAAGTTCAGATGATTGCTTCCACGTCCGCGACGCGTTTCTGTTTGGCGTTTTGGAGCACAGTATATTGTACAGATGGGTATTGTTGGTTTGAGGTTTAGATATCGAATGGCATCCACAACTGTCGTTTCAGGGAGCAGCGTTCTGCTACATCTACAATCCGCATATTCTGATTATTGAAGCCTGTGCATTGATGTGTTTATGTATTAATGGATCTAACAATCCATATTATTCCTACTACCTGGGTATTACATTATCATCTAACCTTCTTCGCTTCCGTGCTCCCTCACCCTAATCGTGGTTGTATGCAAAGTAGAATGTAGGTAAATCCAGACACCAGTGATTAGATATTACATATTTTGGGCGTAAAAGAGAGAATGTATGACAGAAATGCTCTAGAGAAGGAATGGCTGATGTGAAAATGCAAGATAACAAGTCTAAAGCGAACTTGTAGTAAAAGATGCGATGCTTAGGATGCACGCGTGGAAACAGGACAAAGTGTCGTTTCAAGATGTCGTCCAGCGTGGTGTGTAGCAGGGGTACATTAAGTAAGGGGCCCGGATCCTTTGTCGGCGCGGTGTTGACGGGGCTATTACCCGCGCCCGAGGCGGACGTTGTGTCTCTCCAATGACATGGCCTCAGCACGTGTGCGGCCATCGTGGTTGTCATCGGTGATGTGGTGGTGTAACGAGTGTGGCGATGACATGTCGTAGTCAAAAGCGACTCTGATGTTGCCGATGTTGGAGCCGCTGCATTGGCGGGGCTGAAGTAAGCCTGCTTCGGGTCGTAAGAGCGACATGAGTCGTATCTTCATCGTAGCATTAGATAATATAAGGACATGTTCTGTGGCGTCATGTTTGGATAACGAGCGTGTTGTTTAGGTGTGATGAATCGTAGGTTGTTCTGACAGGCGGAAGGATCATCTAGAGTCCCGTTCAGTCTGCGGATCCAACGGGAAAAGGCGTAAGAGGTAACTGTTTATCTTGTCCCGGCACAGGCGTCCGTGGTAATAGTGGCGATGGCGTCCGCTGACTGCTTGATTGCCGGGCACTAGGACCCAGTGCCAACGGTGAAACGGTTCGTAGAGGGGCGGGGAAGGGTGGGCTAAAAGGTGTGACAGGCGACATGCGGAGAGGATCAATGCTTCCTTGGAAACGGGTAGCAGACCGTCCTCGTGGTGTGCTCTGTGTGCTTCGTCCAGAACTACTGCTTGCGTTGCGAGAATGGTTGTTGTAGCTGTGCATGCGGATTGTGGTCGGGCGGCTGTTTGTAATGGAGAAACGGCCGCTTGCGGTCCGAGAGAGCGTTGCTGGGAGTGGCTGAAGGGGCATCATGTCGCTTTGGACCGAATCTGCCCGCGGCGGAGTGTATGTCTCAAGCTTCATGGCCTGTGAGGTGTTTGGCCGCGACGATGACCGCGTGCTGGGTCTCGTCAATGTGGTGGCAGTACTGGGCCGGATGATAGTATTCCTAGACGTGTCTGGTGCCGTTCTCGCAGTGGCGGTGGGCGGACGAGTCATGGTCGTTCGTGCTGTGTTGGGTCTGGTCCTCGTAGCTGCGGTACCAGGCCGGACGCTCGCCCGTGGGCCAGCTCCAGGCTTTTGGCGCTCGATATCGAAGGCTCGCTGGTCCGTGTATTGTGCCGCTGTCGAGAAGTAATGCGGTGCTATCAGAGCGAAGAGCGGTCGCATAGCTGGTAGACATGCACAAATGATTCCAACATTCACCTCCACCGCAGATAGTGTCGCGTGATCTTTGTTGTCGAACGAGACGTCGGTCGAGTTGGCGATGTCGTCCAAGGTATACAGTCGGATGATAGAGACCATGGTACCGCTGTTGATCCGTTAGCATTGGTGATACCCGAAACTGCCTGAGTTGCCCTACCTTGCGCCCAGCACGAACATGCCCACTAAGCCTTCCTTTTGTGATTTGGGTATTTGAAGGGCCCGGACGATAGACAATGGCATGAGGAAGATGACTACGTCTTGCGCAATGTTGACACCAGCATTCGTAACCCATATGACAAGTTGGTTCATGCAGCGTCCGTTCCCGATGGATTTGTCCCATGCAAAAGCGACGGGGCTGCAGATAAAGACGCTCGAGAAAGTCGACCAGCCGCCGTAGGCTACGACAACACCCAAGACAGCGAAGCACGCTATGCGGAAGTTTCGCACAGGAAAGATACGGAGATACTGTACAAGAATGGATATCTTTGTCACAGTGAGTGTGAGGTTGTAGACCCAGACGCTCGCCCAGAATGACTGTGTGATTGTTAGTCGCAATACAGATAAGCGATGAAAGGTAGAAGCCCCTCGGTGCATATAGGTGACGCATCTGCATCACTCAATGTCGTGACGACCGTAAGACGTGCTGCAGTCAGGCACCTCATCAGGCACCTCATAACACATGAGCCGGGATATCCAAGTATACCGTCGGAGAATGATGATTTTTCTGCACTTACAATTTCCAGTCTATCTAGCTTGTCGTCTTCAATTCGCGCACCGTGCTCTCCAAGGCCATTCATCACTTGCTCCGCCGTCAGCACAGCAAGTGCGATGGAAAGAACCTATGAGTCGTCAGCAAAAGATGCACGCTGCGCAACCAGCTTCACTTACCATAGCAAAAACGATGCATGCATCTTCAGGTCCAGCTCCCCTGGATATTACCAGTCGCGTAAAAAGTCGTAGAAACACCACCAAGCCAGAAACAAGTGTGAAAGCAAGTACAATGATATTAACCCGGGTGCCAGCGGGCGTGATGCTACTCGTATCCATATTGACAGTGTTATTAGAAAGACGAGTACGTAGAACAGGAAATCTGAGGGACTCGGAGTAGTAGACCTGCGAAAATGCGCATGGTTCAAGCACTCATAATGGCTGATCCGGAGAAGGTGGTGATTGGGATGTTCAAAAGCGGATCGGGATAGGAGATGCGGTGCGAGGTCGGTACCGCAGCACGAAGTCGAACAACAGCCAATGCTAGAAAGATGGCTCGGTGTATTTCAAGAAGGAAAAGCGCTCATTGGTAAGGAAAGTCGGACGACAATGACCCCCGGGACTTGAGTGAGACGCAGGTTCGCGACGTTCATGCTGCATTTGGAAGCGCGAAGGGGACCAATATCGACAAGACTCTCCACACCATGGGCACGTTCCTGCAAAAACGACCGTCTCATACGTACGATAGTCACGGTCCGCAGATCGCTTGGTGCACTGACCTAATGCTGCCTTGTGGCGACTGGCGAGGCTCCAGGTTTGGTAGCAAAAAGGCAGCAATAGTCGAGGAAGGGGGTATAATGTCGCAACTATACCCTTAGGGCCAACTCGTGGCAGCCACGGTTAACAAGTCGCCGTGTTAGGTTAGCTTTAAGGTTGCATGGCTGAGGCCATGGCGCAGCGGAACTGTTGATGTCGCATGTCAATAACTAGATGCCGCTTTGACAGTTCTGTTTTGTTTGGAAAGGCTGTCTGTACACTGTCGAACCGCTGTGACAATGTCATGTGGCGTGTGGTGGATGAGTCTGTCGCGCGCGAACATTGCGTGAGGGGCTGTGGTTGGCCCACCAAGCCCGCGTACCTGCATGTTGTGTGCTCGAAGTGTAGCAGCTCGGATGGTATGGCGCAAGACTAATGACCCTGCTGCAGATCTAGCCGAACGCAGACCGTGCACCGAAACCTTGGGGACTATCTTACGGGTCTGAAACGGACCTAAGACCAGCGGCGTGCTCTCCACCATATAACGTTTTCTCCAGGCAATTGGCGGCTTTCTCACACAATCTTGGTAGATTTGATGACAACAGAGTTGATCGATAGGAGGCTAACCTTATTTTGGCACACCGATGAGGCCCGCACCATGCCGCTAACGGCCGAAGTCGAGATCTCGTCCTGCTCTTCGACTAGGGAGCGACCGCGGCTGATCCCCGGTTGCTCGATTTCACGTCCGAGTCACACGTGGTGTAGGGTTCGGTACATGCCGGCCTCAGACGCAGGTTGGGTCGGATTGCGCACTCTGTTCGTTTACAACCTTCTCTGCATCTTGTGACAATAGCGTGTCGGTTCTGACGCTTATGACTCAGAATACGTTGAGCGAGAAGAATGCCAATATTGATGTGACCAGACTTGTAAGCGAATGCAGAGCCAGATCTCCTTGTGATGAAGCAACCTACGAAGCTCCAGCCTCGTCTATAGCCACGGTCGGCCTTAAAGTTTGTGCGCTATCTCTCTGCAGGCGGTCGGACGGCTGGAATGGTGCCAATGAAGTTTCCTTAGGACAGCGTTGCCAAGGGTTTAGACCAGTCATGCAATTATCGACAGTTGTCACATTGAAAAGCGCCGCTGGTCTTGTTGTTTCGAGGATGACCGTTATTGGTTTGATCTGCCGGAGTCGCCTTTTCCCTTAGTCCTGTCAAACGCTGTCTTTGGAATCAGCGACAAATTCATCCATGTCGAAATCGTCTGCATAGATTTCATGCATGACCGAAAGGGAGCTGTCGCAGGAGCCAAGAAGAATTTTTGCCTGAGAACGAAAGCAACGTTGACGCGCCTCATGCGACTTGGTGGAAAGCATAGTGACTTGAATGGGGACAATGTTGTCGGCGATCCAACGCGCACGGCATGGATCTACCAAGTAGATCCAAGGGGAGCTCGGTGCTTTACGCGGGGGTCCAGGGGACATGGTGGAGAGCCGTCTGGGAGATCGTCATGTGGTAGCATCGGTGGACGCGACGCGTGATTTATACTTTTCGGCACCAAGCGCGAAGCGAAAGCAAAGCCGATCACATACCGACAGTAGGCACCCGTGGACTGCATCGTCCTAGACAACGCTGATCTACGCTCTTCATCGCCTTCATCGTATAGACCGTCTGGGTACGAGAAAACACTCCGTGAGGTGTGAAGCGTGTCGCACAATTGTGATAGTAGGCAGCAGGAAGCTCGCTCGTGAATGGGAAGCGGCCAACCTCTTCATAGGCGACGAGCTGCGAGCGCTTGCGACGTGCGGAAAGCGGCGAACTATGGCGGGGCGGAAAGAGCGTTGGACTCGAGGACTTGTGGTGTTGAAGATGGCGCTGCATTTGCGATGGGTAAGAGTGCGCTACTGGTGAGGTTGCAGAGAAGGCGCACGACTCGGTCGTAGTGCTAACAGGTAGATGAAGGCGACATGCGGTGGCAGAGCAGGCAGGTGGTCATGTAGAAAAGGAAGTCGCGACAGTCATAGTTAAGGCGCTGACAAACTCTTCTTCGATTAAGCGGCAAGCCGCAAAGATCAACGAAAAGCAGCGCAAAGCTAGCAATGGGTGTCAAAAATTCCCAGCCGATCCGAAGACCAACTGGAGCGGTCATAGTTGTAGTTTTCAACTAGCAAAAACGCTACCTCGGACGAATCCTCACTGGTAAGCGTAAAGCCCGAGCACTTGGATGCAGAAGAGAAAGGAGGACGAGGGGCCGCGAGTTTATATACTGGCAAGCTGTGCGCTAGCACCTTGGCGCGCTAAGGTCATGTGACCGCGCACGTCCGTGGGATGGCGGGCGAACTCCGGCAGAGGGTCTCTCACCCAATGGCACGAGCAGGCGGGACTAGGCAGCAGGTCACGATTTTCACTCTGCGCTGTGTCTGCCTCATGGTCTCTTGCGGACGAGACCAACAGCAACAGGTTCACGGTCGAGCTCTGATGACCCTACCTGCATCTGCGTCACTCCGCTTGCAAGTCCACAATTACTCACTGCCGTAGCTGCCGCATGCCGCATGCCGTGCGATCCTCTGGGTGGGCCGACGCACCATACCCACCACGCTTGCAAGACTTTTTGTCCTGCCAAACTTGGGCATTAGGAGTGCAAGAGTAGCGTCACGAACACGGCGATACGTGCGCTCTGTTTTGGGCAGCAATCACTGCGTCGGCACAATTGGAACAGCTTCTGTGCGTACGAGGCGCTGTGCAAAGACAGTGCCGCGATCGGCAATGCGAGACTGAGGCACCAACATTCACCTGTCTAATTCTTCTACCAGAATAATCGTCGCGCACATCATATGCTGGCTTTTCGCATTGCAATTGAAGATACTCCGAAGAACGGAGTTCGAGCTGGAACAGCTGTCCAGGACTTGTGCGACGCGCTTCCTCCCTATCACCACTATGCTTCCACGGGCGAATGCGCCGCCCCTGCGTCTTTAGCTGTCTTTCGAATTACTCGCATCCATGGCGATACTATGTATCTGGTAGCAAATACGTCACTAGCAAGCAATTAAGGACTGAATGAGGCTCCAAGAGGAGTTCCGCCCTTGTGTGGTCATGCGCGTCCGAGTCAGAGTATCACCAAAGGATTCGTGATTGCATCGGAAATGCTCTCCGCGTAACTGCCGGCTGCAGTATCAACCAATGTAGGACAAGCTCGTACGTTGCGAGGCTTTGTTGTACCCTCCGCGGTGACCAACACTCGCCAACGCCAGGGTGAGGGCGGACCCTTTCTCCCTCTTCGCTTCGGAGCCAAATGCCGCCCATGTTCGAATCGAAGCTTCGCTTAGGGAGATACATGAGTATTTCAATGTAGGATTCAATACCTGTATGTGCTTACTTATTATCTATCTCGTCCTGTCTGCGCCTGCCTCCTGCGTCCATGTTTACTTCGCATCACGCCGGATCCGCTATCGCTGCAAACGATGCACCAGCTCATCGACGGATCTCATGATCAATCCTCGTCTGTACACGGCTTCATCTTCTCCGCATCCGCCAGCACTCCTTGCTGCTTCAAGGTATGGCTAGACCGCAGGAGACATCATCTCACCTCATCATGAGGTGACTATCGTCGAACATGGAAGCCTCAGGATGGAAAGAGGTACCCTGAGCACCTGAACTACCGTACCCAGCCTGAACATAAGGTCCAGGTATCGACCCTGATGCTTGACCCATAGTGTCGGATTGCGCCGATGAATTCGGCGACGGGCCTGCACGACTGTTGGAGGTCGACGATCGCACCACCGAAGGCTCCTTCCGCTTCCATAAATCCGATATATCGACGTCGTATCGTCTCGCCAGATCCTCAAAGCAGCCGATAGCCACACGGTGCGCGCGCTCTGCCACGGGTCCCTTCATCATCTGCAGCCAGCGGATCGCCTTTCTTGTACAATGGATCATCATTTTAGGCTCACAAGACGTCGATGCTGGGTATGAGAGACCGAGAAGACAGACAGAGATGGCTTGCATCATGTGATGCACGAGACACCACCAGGGACACTGCTCATACATCTGAGGGTTGTATTCCTCTGGAAGAGAAGCGACGATTGTTCTGGCAGCTTCGATACAGCTGTCCGCCATGCGCCTCGAGAAATTTGCGTCGCCCGCATCCTTCCATGGCTGTCGCCGTGCAGTCAAGCACGGCCGTGTGAGCAAGATCCGCGCGGTGCAAAGCTGGAATCGGAGAAGCACGCGTTCCCGGGCGAACACGTCATGCGGTTCACGCAATCCTTCATGCGATCTAAACTCTGGTGGTAATGAGGAACTCCACTGATCGAGACGCTGGCTCAGAAGATGGGTATCCTGTTGGATCTCACTTGGCGACCGGATCATCGTACCCGCGGAATAAAGAGACGTGAGAATGTTTTGGGATATAATGGACAGCTGAACGACAGCTCTGAAGTAAGAGCCTGAGTTGACATCTGTTGCCCGAGACCCTATCGCCATGTGAGGAGGGTTCGCGGCGATATTTGAAGAGGCGGAAAATGTGGGCGAGTCTGATAGTGATGCAATCACCGTACGCATGCCATGTGTTGTCTCCGCTTCTCCTAG